TACCTGACGTTGACGATCGGCTTCTGTTGACGGATTCTGAAAAGTTTGTATCAATTTTCGTGTTTCAACTTCACGAGCGAGGAAATCAAGTGCTTTTTGTAGATATTCTTTAGCTTGTCCAATCGCTTGTTGACTATCGTCGATGCAGCATGGTACTATATTATAGTAAATCAAAAAATCTTGATCATCGAATGTCAATGCTTGTTCGTAGAGTTTCAAAGCTTCTTTCTTTCTGTTAGTCATATCATTCATACACATGACATGAAATCCGGCATGAATCAAATATTTCGGATGAACAATCAGTCGACGGAGCACTTTGCATTGCATCTCGACCAATGATCGAGCTCGCTCTCTTTCCAGATGGTATTGATTTATATAGGACAAATTATTAGAAATGCTAGCAGATGTATTTGGCTGTTTCAAAATTTCAACAGCAGCATCAAGACGTTGCCGAATATCGGTCTCGAACTGTGGGTACAGTTGTTCGATCGAAGTGTCCTCGTTATCATCACAGAAGGAGGCCCATAATTCACGAATTGAACCAAAAACGGGTTTAAATATGTTTTGATTAAATGGTAAAACACTCTTCTGTGAATGAACTAAATCGAGGAATTGAATAAGCAGGCAATCTTTAAGTTCGATTTGTCGCACTTGTACTTCAGCTATGTTCATTTCGACCATTTCAAGTCGATCTCGACGTTCTTTCCACTGATCAATTGTTCGACTTTCGTCGATAGATTCAGATGTTGCAAGTTGATCTTCACTACAGACGATCAATCGAGCTGAACCAGGTTGACCTTGTCGTCCAGCTCTACCAAATGCTTGCTGTTCGATTCGAGAATTTCTTGGCATAAATGTCACGATCACATGTAGACCACCTCGATCATTGACTTCTGTCATCGTTTTTAGATCTGTTCCTCGTCCAGCCAAATTCGTCGCAATAATCACATCACCAGAATGTACTTCTTCCGGTTTAACATGCTCAGCTAAATCGCTACGAAGATACAATTTCAAGTTTCGATGTTGATCAGATAAACACGATCGAATATGTTCAGCATCACAAATTGTTTCACAAATCACCAGTACACCTCGATCACGCTCAATGGCAATCAGTTGGCATTCTTTTTTAATCTTATCCAACCATTCGTCACGATTTCGACCGAACTGACCTATTTATATCGATATAACAGATGTTAAGATATGTCTGAAGCAATGATCATATTGAAAGGAGAAGTGTTTATGTCGCTAAATGTCTTGAATTGCATACATCCTGAAATTTGAATACTTCAGTCGATTTTTCTGCAGGGGCAATCGAATCTACAAAATCAACTTTTGTTGAAGTTTCAGTACAACGTGACAGGTATTTCAAAAATTTCTGTTCAGAGCCTTCCAAAGAATATCGTAGTCATGAGGGGCTGTGCAACAAAGGTTATCGAGGATAGTTCAGAGGATAGGAAAAGGAGTTTCAGCGTAGTTCCAGGTGAAGTAAAATTATACAGTATAAAAAGACAAAATTGATAGCTTATCAATTTGTATTTCAAACATTTTTCGAAAATTTTCTCATGGTGAATGTGGATGAAACTTGTTTCGATGCTTTCGTTCTTCCATGCTTCCTATGGCCGATACTTGTGACACCGTCTCAGCTCTAGTCATATTCTCCATCTGTGAAACATCAAGGTGACACTTTAACTCGATACGGGTGCTATCTTTCTATATACCGTCGATCTTTTTCTATCCAGTGACACTATTTCCGAGTCGTTTCGAAAGAATTAATAATGTCATCTTTTGGTTTAGGAGAACTCAGTTTAGAGCCTGAAGTCAATTCTCAACACACTCGTTGTAAAGCAAAAACGTTCATTCTTGTAAGCAGTTAAATTCTGTGTCGAGTGATATATGACTTCATCCTTTTCGTGAAGTCATGGAACAGTTGCATAATAGCAAAACTCTGAGGACAAGTGTTCCAGAAGTTTTTTGGAAACACGGCAGTCTTAACAAGACTGCTAAGCCCTGTTTTGAATTTTTCGTTTATACAGGATATTCTAGGCTCTGTTCGATATATCTGCATGTAAGCTAGAATTTCACATTTTGAACTCATTGAAGTCTGATACTTGTCGGAAGTTTCCAAAACCTTTTGTCTGAATCCAGTATTATACTTATAAACTACATAGGATGAAGGACTTCTCTTCACCCTTACGATCAAAGCATTCAACACGATCGCAATTGGATTGAAATGTAACGCACGACGAAATACGTTGAACCCTAGTGCAAAGACTTTTCTATGTTCATTACAGTTGGTTGTAACATTAAGACCGGCACGTTGAAAATTCCATTTAGTGTCACAGTCTGGGATAGATGTATGGGACTTTCTATCAAGAAAATGAGAAGTTACTTGTTTTGCTATATACTCCAAAACTCATTTTCAATAATTTTTACCAGATGAGAAGGTTATCTGAGACCTACTTTAAACTGCGTCAATTGAACACTAGTATAAAAGCAATAAATCGATTTTTTTCCGGAATAACCTCTTATTTTACTAGTGACAGAATATCAAACTTCTTGACTTATTTCAATTGCATAATTCGACTAGGAGCTGCAATTAATAAAACATCACTGAAATTATTAGAATTGTTTGATTTCGCATCTCCTTGTATTAAAATCGTGTTGTTATTTTGAAGAAGATGCAATTTCGATTGATTTCATTTCTTCTGCTTCTTGAATTACCAAAAAAACAGGTTTAGCACAAGTTAACTTACTTGGATAGTTTTCAAACACGCTGTCAATATATTTTGGTATCGTGATAGTCTCAACCTGATAAACTGATTTAAGAAATCTCCTGGCTTGTTCACCACCCAATGTTCCAGTGACTCCATACAGATGAGGCTGATATCGTTTGAAAAGTGTTACATTGGAAAAGAACGAATCACACATATGTTCAGGTGTCACACGTAAGTTATGTTTCATTTGAAGAAATTGATGTATACCATCCCTCCAATGCATATTTGTCTGAGACACGCCGGTATTAGCAAAATCCACGACAACAATTCGTCCATCCTGACTAATGACATAATCAACATTTTCTTCTAAATGAAAAAGTGCTCGTTTGGCACTTTCTATCCATGTCGATAATTTCTTGTTAATAAATGCTTTACGATAATGTGGATATTGAACAAGATTTCGATTATCTAATTTGTCTTTAATAAAAGCCAAAATATCCACTAAAAGGAAGAATTTCAAAGATTATCATTAAATCAATAATGTCTGACCTGTACAACAACCATTCGGTTGTCGAATAATAAATTGTCTAGCATCCTCAGTCATTGAAAATGTTTGAAAAATTGAATAGATTAATCTCAGAATGACATTAAACGCCTTGTAACCAGGTGTAAGTGATGCTAATTGTGTAAAATGTTGACGTTGATCAATGAACATGCTGTCAACTTCATCGACAATGGCTGCTTCAAAAGATCGATTAGCACGAATTTCACTTTGTAGATAAAAATCTCTACGAAGAAGATCGCCAGCGAAATGATTTACCGTTCCATAAACAACATCAACACCGTAATTGGGTATCTGTGGTGGATTACAACAATTGTGTCCGGCGGATAGATTAAACATTTTGTAGAATGTACCAAATTCTTCAACATCACGCTGAGCAAGAATTTCTGATGTTGTAATAATATCGACACGTTTATTCAATGGAGGAAGCGAAAGATAAACAGCCACTAAAAGTCGATCAAAGAGTTCAATGACTATTATGGCCACCATGGCTAAGTGATTACGTCGTTAGAAACGTATCAACAAGGTGATGGTGTAGGTATGGGTATGAGTGTGGGTGTGGGTGTGAGTGTGAGTGAGGATGTGGGTATGGGTGTGGGTATGAGTGAGGATGTGGGTGTGGGTGTGGGTATGAGTGAGGATGTGGGTGTGGGTGTGGATGTGGGTGTGGGTGTGAGTGAGGATGTGGGTGTGGGAGTGGGTGTGGGTGGTGAGGGTAAGGGTTATGTGTGGATGAGGGTGTGGGTATGGCTGTGAGTGGTTGTGGTGCGGATGTGAGGATGGGGGTGAGTGGATGTGGAGGTAGGCGTGGATGAGGTTGTGAATTTGGGTGTCTTTTATCCATTCCACATCCACACCCACATCCTCACCCACAGCCTAGGTTCGAATTAAGAGAAGATTTTTTTCGCGTGGCGTAATTACGTAGCGAATGCTCATGACGAATGGCCATATTTTGTATCTATTTTTCAATTTTTAATATTTTCTTGAAAAAGCTGTTAGCGTGATCCCTGCGAGTTCAAAATGTGAAACACGATCTTACTAGTTTCACGAATCGACGAGAGATACATCAATTCTATGATTTTAGGAAATGCTATGTCGGTCACGGTTTAGGGGGAGGGGTGGTGGGGCCAAATTTCTATCCCTAAACACTTCAACACTCTTTCTAGATCTGTTTAGATCGTGATTCACAAAAAACAAAGTATACCAGAAGATGCAGCGTGAAAAGCTCTACAATCTAAAACAGAAAGGTGGGTGTGGGTGTGTGGGTACGGGTGGTGTGGTGTGGTGTGGGTGTGGAATGGATAAAAGACACCCAAGTTTACACTCTCATCCAAGACTACCTCCACACCTCACTCACAGCCACAGTCACACCCTCACTCACCCTTTGTCTATTTTTGAATACTAAAGGACCACATATAAAATAAGCTTTCTGTTTTAGATTGTAGAGCTCTTCATGCTGTATCTTTTAGTATATATTGTTTTACCAACAAAAATATTAGGAATTGCAAAAAAAAGATACAACGGAACGACAGATATTCACATGTGAGGATGTTCCGTGACTGTTATTTGAATTTCGTTAGAAGCCGCAAAAGGTGAAATGGTTTTTTTCTTGGAAACAACAATCGATCTTTTAAAGATGAGTCTTAACTCAAAAGTGTACTATACAAATAAATAGAAGCCAGTGATCGATACTTACACATAGCAACAATGATAGATTTCCCTTCGCCAGTACGTATTTGTGCCAATCGTCCTTTCTTTTTGGGATTTTCAATTAAAATCAAAAGAGATAAAACTTGAATATCTCTCGGTCGATATTGTTTGTGAAGATGAGCAGCTCGAATGATGATAGCTATTTTATAAAGATCGTCATCCCCGAAGGTTTGTCGTTGAATATCGTTGATTGTCCATCGAGATGTTTCTGTTTGATAATGATGCATGACTTTTCGATAGCGTTGCTTGAGTTCGATGATATTAAGACATGTATTTTCTGGTTCAAGAGCTAATTCTTGTAGAAGAGTTTCAACTGATTTTGCTTTTCCTTGTTCGTCGACGATTGTGTTCATTTCTTTCATCCATTGTTCAATGGGATGTGTGGTGATTGTCTTGACAATTCGTCGGACTTGCGATGGAAGTAAGATTTGATTGTTGACTATGGTTTCAATGACGAGCAAAGCCGTTTTCAATGATGATAGCTTATTGCTGATTTCCGGACTTCGAAATGTTCTTTTGAGTGATTCAATTGCTCGATGATCCCATTTCAGTTGAAACAACTCGTCAACATTCTGTTCGAGAAGTTCTCGATAAATGTCCAATGGTTCTTCTGTTTGTGCAGAAATCATTGATGTTGTTATTTTTGGAGAAAACAATTCAGATAATGAAAGATGAGGAGCCACGTGAATGTTTTCAATCGCAGCTCGACTTGTTCTACTAGAGAAATCAAAGTAATAACTAAGAAAACTATAATTTTTTGCTCTTCATTTAGTGAAAAAGCTAATGAGTGTTGTTGCAAATCAGACCGCTGATACGATAATGCCGAGAAAAATAAGGAAAACCGTTTTATTTATATTCGCATTTGAAAGGAACTTGTTTTTCGTTGTAAGTCAGTAATTTGCATGTCAGCTGTGAGGTCGAGGATTTACGATCTATTTAAGCTCATACGATAAGTACGAGAAATGGCTTGCGAGCAAAGTATTCTTCTAGTCAAATTTCTTCAGAGTGTCGTCCTTAAAACATAAGCAAATATCTTAACCTGATCTCATCATTTTATATGCACTTATATCCATTATTCTATACTGGTGTGTATTGTTCTATTCTGTAGCGTGTATTTTCCATTTTATTCAATGATAGGTTTTTCTTTCTCTATGTTTGCTTTTGACTATTTTTCTTTGATGCTCTTGGATATTATCATATCTAATATATCGGTCAAAATCTAAAAACTAAAAGTTTAACATAATGAATAAGTACATATGACATGATAAGAAGAGAGAAATGACATAATAGAGGAGAACGCGCAAAAGTGACACAGGAATATAGTTAATTCCGACGCTTCGTAATACCTTTTACGTTCGATAATGTTTACTGTTAATTTCTATATTTTTCTGATGAATGTTACTAAGCTCTTCATTTTCTTACTAGAAGAACGCATGGTAGTCAATAAATAGGAAGAGGTAAATGCAACAACAAATTACCTAACAATGCTCATAGTTTTCGTTTAATTTTGCTCAGAGGGTGGAAATTTGGGAGAGAAAGTCTCTCAAAGTTAGGGAGAAGCGTTTCTTTGTATTTAGTTTTTTGTAATAAACTATAGTCTCGGTTGAAAATTCCAAGCGTCTCTTTATCAATTTTAAAAATTTTCTTTTTCCTGGCTTTCGCGCTAATGAACTTATAAGAAGAATTTAGATCAATGAAAATGAGTTTATTGCTTCTATATCAAAACTGTTAATATCAAAAGTGTCAAAATGTTACTTAACCCTTCGTGGTTGTCCTGATTTTTGTACTTCGTAGTTGTCCTGGGGTCCGCCTGGACCCACCTATAGAAAATTACAAAAAAAACGATTTTTTCCTTTCTTCAAGTGTTTCATTTGACTTATATGAAGAGGTGGAGATCTTTCTTTATAAAAACTAATGAGTCAGCTCTCGTGAAAACAATGTAAAGATGTATGATATCGCAAAAAATTACTTCTCTAATCGTTTTTGTAGCAACATTGATAATAGCTGGGAAAAGCATAGAATATATCAATCTAGTCTAGATGATAGGATTCTACGCGTACGTTGTTATATATATAATCAATTGTACAATTGAGAAAGCAAGAAACTTTTCTTTTTGAACTATAGCTACTTTTATCTTTCTCTTTATTATTAGAAAAAGCAATAAAAACTCAGTTTTTTTTTATCAAACTGATGATATTGTTTGTATATAAATCTTTTTTTCATAAATGCAAAGTATACTCTAATGTTTTTCCATGCATGTTTGACAAGTTACTGTTGTGACACTGTTGGAATGAGACAAACAAACATTTTGACCACAGCTGGAACATGTTTGTCGAACTTTTCGTCCTGGTTGAGCTGGGCATAGGAAACACCTTTTTTGGCTTGATGAATTTGGATGTTTTGGCTAACATCTTTGATGCTCTCTGAGTGAACCTGACAACCTAGTGAGAGCAACGCCAGTTTGACTTTAGGCATAAGCCAAACTTCTTGACTACGGCGACGATTTTGTGCATCTGTCAAAGTTTTGCTCAATTGCTTTAAAAACGTACGTAACATATAAGCCAACCAAAGTAAATCATTTTAAAAAAAATTGTGAATCAACAGATGACAGCTTTATCAAGACGAAAAATATGCTGGTAACAGCATAGTTGTCGTAGGGTCCATCCGGACCCACAGCTGCATTTTTCATCTGCTAGGCTTATCGTTGATTTCTAATAAGGATGTTGTAGACCAACATAGGACTAGATATTAGATAAGGGGACTGGCCCGAAACAGAAGCTCTTGATGTAGTATTAAATAAAAAACTCTGAAATGGGTCCGCACGGACCCCACCTCAACCACGAAGGGTTAATGTTTTATCTATTTTTCATCGTTACTGCCATCATCATGTGTATGTATAAATATGTTTTGATGGGGTGGTGTGGGTGTGGTTGTTGATTCCTGCTTCTCCCATACCCACCTACTTCAGTACACACTGCCTATGTCGTCGATTTTTCATCAAAACCACCGGTTACCGGCGGTCCATAGGAAAACCGCTGGTTCGAAGCGGTTTCTGTTCGTTTATCGATTTTTTTATAATTTTCCTTCTAAATTAATATTTTTAGTCTTGAAAAAATCTATTGCAACTCAAAAAAGTCTAGATAATTATGCAACAGTAAAATTCTGTCAGATGGCGCCAATGATTTTTGTATTGGCTGAGTTATCTCGCGAATAACTATTTTTATGGCGCCATCTTTAATAAAAATCGAAACTTGAAAACCAAGTAAATATAGCAGGTGTGGCTGGTACCCGTGGCTTCAGCGCGTTTGCATATATAAGGGGCGACGATTTTAACATAATTCTAACCATTTTGTAAGAGTTTAAAAATATTCACGCTCTGTGATACCCGAAAACATTTAGCTGGTGAACTGCGGTTAACCGTCCGGTAAACCGCTCAGTTAACCGGATGGTTAACCGGGGTTGACCGGCGGTTTTCAGGAAGTTTGAGAGACATGAGTGGTCCCTTACTTTTCACTGAATTTGAACCATTTTCTCCCTGCGACGTACTATTTTCTCCGCGATTTCAAAGCATTTTCTCATTCAGATTTACTATTTTCTCTTTTGTATCGAAGTATTTTCTCTTTGATAACAGTTATTTTCTCTTTCAAATTTACTATATTCTCTCAGTTATTGAATAGATTAAGTCTTTTGACGAAACAAGAACTTAGTGTTCTTGCAATAATGATAACATCTTTTGTGTGAGATAGAGTAGTTGGTTTTATTATGTACAGTGTAATCAGCTCATCAAAAAATTAAAAACTGCTCAGTGATCTTAGACAATTTTCAGGGAGGAAGTCAAAGCCCAAGAAAAAATTGAGATGGGGGAAGTCTCCACCTTTCCCACCCTAATTGTACGACCTGATGATGCATGAAGGTGTTGAGATGGTGCCGTGGTGCTCATATATATTTTTGCGGAATAGCATCGGATTTCCGATGATAGCTAGAGGTGAATCATACTGGTTCAATTCAATTTGTCAGTGGCAGGGAGCCTTTGTCATAACCATCGTTGAATTTTATAAAATCCGTTAAATCGCGAAAAATAACCTTGCATCAACCGAAAAACATTGTGAGCGAAAATTTCGACAATCGGGCTATGGATTTAAATTCTCAACGTCGAAAATCTTCAGTCAAGTTTTATAAAAATCATTATTTTCGAGAAATAGCTTTGTCTTGATCGAGAAAATCGAGCTGAAAGAATACAACTTTCACCTCCACGTGTCAGCTGAGATCCTATGTTATTTTCCAAACTATATGAGCATCACGACACCAGTTCCACACGTTCGAGTATCATTTGTACTTTGGTGCTGCACTTACCCACTTGAACGGCACACTGCGGAAAACACAGAGGGTGGAAAATCTCCAATTGGTACAAATTTTGAAATTTGCGTGTTAAAGTTTTCAAATTTCAAATTTTTTTAATTTTCAGATTTTGAAAGTTAGTACAAATTTATGTTCACATAGATAGAAATAAACAACTATATAGGTATGACTAAATTTGAAAAAGACAGATATCAAATATTTACTCACATTATATATTTCTGAGATAGTGTTAGAAAGCAGAAATTAGAGATGTAACACTCGTATTTTTGAAATCCAGAAATATATAGTATGGGTGTATTTCTGCTTTTCTGGTGATTTTTTAGAAATGCATAGTGTGAGTAAATATTTGATATCCGCTTTCTGCCGACGATTCTGAGTTATGTACAGAAGTAAATATATGATACCTTGACCAAAAGTCAGATATCAGCAATCAGAGATTCAGTTAAAATTGATAATAATTTGAGATTTGCGACGATGTCGGAAAGCAGCTGTCAGATAGAACTGTTTTCAGTCCTAGTCTTAAGTACAGTCTTCCAAATATTTTTCATTTGTAGCCAGCAACTACATTCTCAAAAAAAATTGGTACTCTACTGAATGAGGGTGTCGGCGTTCTCGTTCCTTGGGAACGGAGCGCTTAGGAACGAGAATCGCTGACATTTTTAATGGACAGCATAAGTTCTAAGTTACAGAGGAGCGTTTTTTGTATACTTTAATTAAGGAACAGAGAAATCTAACTTTGTTCCTAAGTTTTCAGCTGCTAAAACTCTACTTGCGTTCCTCGGAACGGGAACTTAGGTTGCGTTTCTGTTTCTAAGAACGAAACGGGAACAAGATACCCCTACTACTCAACTTAAAAATAAGTTTAGAAGCCTTCGAAACCAAAAAAAGGTTCTTCCCTCAGCCACACGGGAAGAACCTTTTTTGGTTTTGAAGGCTTCTAAACCTATTTTTTATGTTCAGTAGCGTACCTATTTTTTTGGGTGTATAGAACTGAAAAAAGTTCTGTACTCTCTGACTAAACCTTTTTCAGTTTTAGATATGTTTGTTAGAACTGAAAAAGCGTACAGAAAATGGTATCAAGAATACGATTCTATCAGCACACCTTTTCTATTACGTTGTACGACTCTCATCTGTAGCTATCACATGAATTTCTATGTTATCTTCCAAAACTATGTAAGCACCACTACAAAGTTTCGGTACCAAAAAAGTGCTGTGGTACTGGTGGTTCGAAACCTGCACTTTTCTCCTTCATCAATAGTCATTTCAGAGA